GTGATTCACCCACCTTGGTCTCCCAGAGTGCTGGGATTATAGGCATGAGCCACCACACTCGGCCGCCTTTACAGATTTTTTAAGACTAGAAAACGAAAAAAAGTTAGAAGAAGCCGAATTTGGACGGTAAGATGGATGCATAATGACTTCCCATTGAAGCTCTCACAAAATTGCCCTGGTTTGATGAGAGAAATGTAGCTGAAGCATTGTTGTAGGGGAGAAGGACTCTCTGGTAAAGCTTTCTCAGATGTTTTTCTGCTGAAGCTTTGGCTAACTTTCTCAAAACACTCTCATAATGAGCAGATGTTATTGTTCTTTGGCCCTCTAGAAAGTCAACAAGCAAAATGCCTTGAGCATCCCCCAGAAAACTGTTGCCATGGCCTTTGTTCTTGACTGGTCTGCTTTTGCTATGACAGGACCACTTCCACCTCTCAGTAACCATTGCTTTGATTGTGCTTTGTCTTCAGGATCATACTGGTAAAGCCATTTTTCATCTCCTGTTACAATTCTTCAAAGAAATGCCTCAGGATCTTGATCTCACTTGTTTAAAATTTCCATTGAAAACTCTGCTCTTGTCTGCAACTGATCTGGGTGTGATGGCATTGGCGCCCATTGAGTGGAAAGTTTGTCCAACTTTAATTTTTCAGTCAGATTTGTGTGAGCTGCACCAATTGAGGTATCTGTGGTGTTAGCTATTGTTTGTGCTGTTAATTTTTGCTTCTCTTCAATTAGGGCATGAACAAGATGATTTTTTTCCTTGCAAATTGATGTAGATGGTCTGCTGCTGCAATTAGGGCATGAACAAGATGATTTTTTTCCTTGCAAATTGATGTAGATGGTCTGCTGCTGCAGGCGCCATCTTCCACATCATCTTGTCCCTCCTTAACAAGTTATCCATTTGTGAACTGCTAATTTATTTGGGGATTTGTCCCCATAAACTTTTCTGAAAGCATCAGTGATTTCACCATTCTTCCATCCAAGCTTCACCATAAATGTTGATGTTTCTTCTTGCTTCAATTTTAGCAGAATTCACATTGCTCTGAGAGGGACTGTTTTCAAGCTGATGTCTTACCCTTCTTACTGCCTCAAATGAAATCCCATTCAGACATGTTATAACAAGTTAGTATGAGTTTATTTTGGTGCAAAACAATTTGAAATTCATGCATTGTTTTTTCATACTATGTGTTTTCCATGAACTTTTCTAAGTCCCCTTGTATAAGAGTATTATATGATCTCATTTATATGAAATTTTAGAACAGGCAAAACTATACTGATAGAAGACAAGTAAGTGGTTATCTGGTGTTGGAATGGGGTAGAGATTCTGCGAAGGGGGATGAGTGAACTATTTTGGGGTGATATTTAGGATGATTAATAATGTTTTATATCTTGATTGTTGTGGTGGATACATGGGTATATACATTTGTCAAAAATCAAACTCTCTCTCTCTCTCTGTCTCTCTCTCTCTCTCTCTCTCTCTCTATATATATAT